ATACTCAGAGAATGGCTTTATTTAAGGAGAGCATATGAAGTTTGTACTTTGCAATGCTGTTTTCCAATATGAGTGGAGTAGGCTTGCCTTCTACCTATTTAAAGTGGGCTAATCACACATGAAAAAATAGTTGACTAAAATTTTGATTATTTTGCCATATTTAAACCTGTATAGGTTAATGAAAAGTAAAAAGGACTGGATGCCTTTTAACAGAACAATCCAATGTTGTTTACTCAAAAGGAAAGTCATCCCAAAGAGGGAAAGCCGGTGTTCTTTATTAACAGTAAAATCTGCATTGTTCCAGTATGTTGGAGTTATATCTGAAATGGTAAATGAACACATTATTTTCCTCTTAATGCAGTTATTTAAAAATAAAGAATGCTTAATTATTACCTCCTTTTCTGTACCTAGGATTTTCTTTACATCCAAATGGAACTTAGTAATTAGCATAATTTATCCCTGAAGCAAAATGACTTAATCAAAATTAGTAAATCCTATGGACAGTTTTATAATTGAACTTTTCTGGAAATGAGCTTGCTCAAATCATAAGAAGGGACTGATATAAATTTAATAAGCAGAATCTTTAAATTGGTAACACTGAAAACAAACAAAAAAAACACTAGGCTTACTTGTAAGGTTTTTTGTGAGAGAAGGGTTTCTCTGGTAAAAACGAAACCAAAAACTGAAAACTAGCAGTGTAGCATAAAGAACACTTACCTTAGATTAAGGAAATACTGAGAAGGCTGAGGGGTACGTTCAATAATGAAGAATCTTCCAAATCTTCTAACTATTTATGATTAACAGCAACAAAAAAATCTGTTGTCTGCTAGAGAATATTCTTAAGCCCATTGTGAAGAGATGTTGTGTGTATTTCCTCTGAGTTTGGCCCAGTGATTTCTTAAAGGGATCAGGAGCCCTGCTTTGAAGTTAGGTAGTCACCTCTGTGACCCCAACCACATCTCTACATTTTGGTTTCTTCATCTGTAAACCAAGAGATATAAGATCTACTTCCTGGGATGCTGCTCGTGGGAATGGCGGGGCATATCTGGGAGTTGGCATGTGCTTGGTACACATCAGCATCCCATTCTCCTCCTCAAAAGACAGAAGCAGGAAGCTGCACTTGTTCCATTTATGGGACTAAGAGAGCAAGGACGATGAGGATGTGTTTTTCACACTTTTACACCTATCGGAGGATGGCCATATATCCCAAGACAGATGAAGCCAATAACTATTAGACACAGTCACAAGTTTGAATTTTCTCCCTCTATGATATGCTCTGTTGTGCGAGGGCAAAGAAGGCTCCAAGGAAGGCTAAAGGAAACATCATTACGCCTAACTTTGGCATTAGGCAGTCCCATTTCTCCCAAGACTCTCTCTCCAATTTCACAGGGTCACTCGTTTCCTGCCTACTATCAAAACCTACCACAACCCCCAGACTCTAAGGTGCCGAAACTCTCGTCTAAGGGCACCAGAATTCCTGACTGCAATTGTTCAACCTAGTTAAAGTGGGTCTTTCACAATGAGAAGAGCTAACATTTATTCAGTCAACAAATGCTGAGTACCTGCCAAGGCCAGACACTCTGCTAGTCATCAGGGAACACAGAACATGTGATTAGCAAACATACAAGGCACAGGAAAACAGCCTGCTAATATTATTCCCAGATGTCACTGAATGAGTGACAATTTGCACGATGTTTCATTAAATGCCTATTAAGAAGATAACCACAGTTGATGACATATAAAAACAAGTCAAATGCTGAATGCAAGAATGGGTGCCAGCAGAGCATATGGAAACAAGGTCCGAGCTGTGGGTAGGAGCTTGCTGGATAACTGCAGTTGGCGATGTTCTTAGGCAGCTGGGACAATTCTTAGCAGTCAACTTTGTTGTTGAATGGTTCTACTACGGTCTGAAAAATTCATTTTTAACTCTAGACTTATGTTTCCATTTACTATATAAAGAATGAACCAAAGAAACAAATGACAAAATATTGACTATGGACCCAAATTATTTCAAGGCATGGGGAGAGCCTGAACTTCGTTATCAACTGCAAAGAGAAACCTCTAGTAGACAGACATAGATGAGGAAACTGTTTTTTAGCATAATATAAACAGGAACAAATCTCTTAACAGCAGTGGTGTCAAACACTTCTGTTGTTGCAAAAATAGTCTCAGAAAGAGCGGTGAGAAAGAATCTGACAAGCAGAAATGAGCTATTTTTTCATCTCCAAAATTGCACTTCCTGGTCCACGGTTCTTGGCACTGCAGATGTTGCAGAATTGTGCAGCAGAATTCTAAAAATGCAATTAAAAATCACAAATTAAAAAAACGATCTTTTTCTCCTCTCACATTCAGAATTATTATGGTGGCATTAGTTGCGGGTGGTGTGGAGAGGAAGTGCTGAAATGTCACTCCCTTTTCTGGAGATTATTTCGCTCAGGATTCAGTCTAGACCAGCTATTATTCTGTGACTCTAGCTAGAGACACTCCGCAGCAGAACAAGTCTACTGTGACCTGGAGGAGAATGGCTTGATACTAAATAATAACAGCATCACGGCACACAAATCCGGCTGAGTTGCACAAGACACACGACGGTTCTCTACTGTTACCGTACGTCTCTACAGCGCAAGTGCCATCAATTTGATCCAAATGAATTTACTCAAATGGGTACACTAAACATTCTACATTGGAAAAAGTAGATAAATTTTTCTTATGTGATATAAAACTATATTATAATTTAAAAAACCCATAGAGCCATAAGGATGATGGGTTATGGTTCTGAGCACATTCTCTGATCACATTAGTTTCTCTCTGGTTGACAGATGCCAAGCTGTCAACTCACCATGCTAGGCACGGGCAGGCACTCCTTGTGGAACATGTGCCGGCAATGGAAGACCACCACACTGAAGGGCTTAGCTGCATCTGGGAGAGGAGGGAGGAAGAAAGAAGAACTCAATGCAAAAAGCAGACCAGGATCTTTTAAAATCATCTTCACCAAAAGCCCATCTGTAGTTTAACTTTCCTGCGATAGGCTGCCTTTGGAGAATGGCTTATTTACAAAAGCATTCCTGAGGGGTGGTGGGAGCAAATGCAAAGCAGGTATTATAATCATGTCGCCGTGTGATTCCCAGGTTACTCGCTTGGCTTCTGTGTCAGTTACCAGGACTACAAATGCAGGACAACTGTAGCAACTTCTATTTTAAAAACTAGAACCAGTATGTGTACGTGTCTGTGCATCCCCCCTGCCCCCCAGAATCATTACACACCACATACTTCAGTCAAGGTTTGGCTTTATAAAAATGCATTCCCAGTTCACCTGCCGCGTTTGCCAAGACCATTCACTGACTTCGGAGGTGGACCTGGGTTAAAACCCCAGGCTGTGACCTTGCATTCTACTCCTGCTTGGGCACGTCCCCTCATCTGTTCCTGCTCTGTGCGGCCAGTTTATTTCAGGTAAGATTTAGTGTCCTTAGCAGATTAAACTGGGAATTTAATCTAATTCTACAGAGGGAGTGTATGTGGTCTCTGTGTTGAAACACTGCCTAAACACTAAGAAAGCTTACTTCTTTTCTTGAGCCCACTATAGTTTTCAACAGAAGCACCAAACCCATTTCCTCTAGAAAAGAACCTAAGTGGAATGACTTCTCATGCTTTGCCCTATTAAATAATCCCTTAATGTTGAGTAAACCGTGAGGTCAACTAGGTCTTTTAGCACTTCTCTATGCTGTATTTATATTAAAAAAGCATTTTGTAGCATCCTGAGAACCACGCTTTTTAATTTCTATGTTCAAATTATGTAAATTTCCTCTCCTCATGTCATAATGAACCTTCAGTAAGGTGCTTTTCATTATAGATGAAGACCAAGAACTATAAATAAACAAATGCTTATGTCTTTTAAAGAGACAGTTCCAATAAGATAGATGGTAGGTATTATGTTTCCATTGAAAGGGGAGATGACTTGGGCACCTAGAACCATACAACAGAGAAAAAGATTAAAGAAAAGGAAATGCTATCCATATTTTTTTTCCTAGATACACACATGGTTCTTCTATCTTGGAATCTAAACATGCTGATGATTAGTTTTCATTTCATTTTACCCTAGAACAGTGATTTTCAAAGAATGGCCCCTGAACCAGTAGCATCAACATCACCTGGGAACTTGTTAGAAATGCACATTATCAGGCCCTGTCCTGGAACAGTAATCAATGAATTTCAAAATTTTAATTCCGTGCCTCATTAAAATACGTATTTGGGGAATTTTTTGTCCCTCCCAACGTTCTTACCTGATGGAAGAATGGGGGAAAGGCACGATTCACAGATATTCTCCTCTGTAAGAAAACACACACAACACTTCGGATCATGCCCTGTTTCTGTCTGCTCTGCTGTTTCTGAATGCAGGGCATGTGGTTCCATATGATTATTTCAATCTTACCCACCATCGACTAGAACACCTTTCATTTGAGTCCGGTGCATTTTCTTCAGTAAGGACAAAGAGTCAGCTACGAGAATCTTCTTGCAGCCTTCACGAAGCAGAATCTAATGCACACATTTTAAAAGAGAAGCCATCTTAAATAGACTGTGGGATGGCGGGTGAAGGGGCACTGTGTGGGGGAGTCAGAAAGCTGGACTTGGCGAACTACTCCAAAGGGCACTTACTGGTTCCCCTGCCCTCAGCACCCTCTTCCCTCCAAACCACTGCCAGACAGACCTTTCCGGCCACGATTCAGTCATTACTCTGTACTTTTTCTTACAACCATAAAGCGGCTCCTGTAGTGTTTGTAGAAATCAAATATAAATTCCAAAGTCTAACAAAGAAAGACTTGTATTAACTAACCCTATTATTATCTTAGAGGGCTTCCTCATACATATTCCCTTTGGCAGATTTTGACCCCTACACGACCTGTTCATTCCAACCTTCAGATCTTTGCCCAGGACGGAAAACCTGCCATTTCAAAATCGTCCATTTCATAACTCCACCTATTTACCATACAAGTATGAGCTGGGCCCCTACCATGTACAAGGCACTGGATATAGATAATAAACTACACAGACATGATCTGTATCCTAAATGCCCTCCAGGCTGCAACCCATCTTCTGATTCTTTCCAAATCCAACCCAAACCACCGAGCACAGTGCAAGGAATGCAGTGTGTGTCAGGTATTCACTGACTACATTAACGTCCAAATTTTCAGACCCCTAGGGGTCTCACAACTGAAAAATGACCACAAATTTTATTATTAATATTCTGTCATGAGATTCATTTTCTTATTCTTTACCCCACGATTGTATGTTTTGTTTCTTTATGCATTTTTCCTGTTCCTCTGCAGGCTTTTTATTATTTTTCCCTTTTCCTGCCTGGAGAATGACAAGAGAGATCACAACACTTTAGCAGCCTCAGAAGTCAGAGGCACACAGTGGAGGACGATGCCTATTTCTGGTTGGTGCCAATGTCGTGTTTCAGAACCAGTGGCATGATAGAATCTGAGACCCCCACTTGCTTTTAGGTGGGCAGGACAGCAGGGGACAGGCCACCCTTTTACCATTCATGCCCATTCTGTGGGCCACAGTGTAAGCTTCCACCCTCTGCTGGGTTTCTTAGGTATAAGTAGGAAGCTGGGAGAGGTGCTCTGAAGTCCAGTAAAGCCAGACATCATTTCTTACCAGAACTCGCTGCTGCTCTTCAATGAGAAAGAAACTCAAGGCCTGGAGGACTGAGAGGCTCTGGGGCCGTGCCTATGGCTCTCCTCTTTGTGCCCTGTGCATCTTATCATAGGTATTCATGTGCAATTACATGTCACTTACATAGACGTTCACGTAACAGAGACATGGTTGTCTGACCATGGTCCAGCTGTGTGGCTGAGAAGCACGTGTCTTTCAGTGCCAAGCTCTAGTGTCAGAGGCGCACTTTGGCTTTCTTTTTTTTTTTTTTTTTTAAGATCAATGATAATTTTAATTCAACAATCAAAGTAGGAAAGAACATTACAGTACAGTTTAATATTACTGAGCATGAGAAAAGAGTATCTGGTGCTGATGCAAATACAGTTTCATAAATTTTTATGGAAATCAATTTGCAGATAAGCTGTAGTTTCTGTGAGGCTTTGTTTAGTTCTGGTTAACCCTTATTCCTGGGATATAACCCTAGATTTACCAGGGCTTGGACTCTAGTTTCTGTATCTGCAACTTCAACAAGCAGTTACAAGCTCTACTGAGCCTATATATCTTTCAGCAATTCTCTCTAGAAAGAGTAAACTTTCCCAGGGGGAAAACATCTACCAAATGCCCTGTTCGCCCCTTAGATCTGGCTTTCTTCATACCAGAGTCACTCTCAGCTCTAAGACTCTGATGGCCATTTTGCTTTTGCAGGTTTTAAATTCACACCACCAAGGAAGGGAAGTAAGGAGTAGCCAACCATGGTCCTCCATCCCCAGTGGTCTACAATGACACGTGTTCCTTCAAAAACCCCAAAGAGCACTGGTTTTGGGTGAATCCAGCTAGAGGCCTTTCCCCCTTATTACATGAAGGCAAATATTCAGGAAAACAGAACTGTTGTCCAGATTAAAGATCTATACCTGCCATTTTTAGTACTGATGAACAATAAATGACATGATTTTAGTATTCCTACATTAAATGAGAAACTGCCTACGAAGTTTTATTCTTTAAAATTCTACTAGAAGTGGAATTTTTTGGATTTTAAAGATATTAACATTTTAACAGATATTACTGAAGAATTCAGGAAGAAGAGAAAAATAACAAATGCGTAAAAAAAAAAAAGTCCCAGAAATATTGATGTCAATAAACTTCAAGCAAACTTACAAGCAAATATATATAGCTGCTCAGCCTCCAACAACAAAATAAAAAACTTAAGAATAGTGTCAATCACAGCGTCTCTAAAATGTTTCAAAAAGAAATGGCTCTGACCCTCAGTGGGTGCCCAAGGCCCACTGCATGAATAATACAGGAGGAATGGCAGAGCTGGCAGTCTAGACAGAAGGCACCGTGTCTGCAAGCTAAAAAGGAAAAGAGCAAGAAAGGCAAACCAAGAAGGAACCATCTCCTCAGCAGGATTACATTTTTCTAAATAGGTACAATCTGTCTGCCTGCAGAAAGTATTTTCTAGGAAAAATAAAGTATTCAGAGGCAAACAGCCAGGAGAGGGGAAAGTACACAAATACAGCTGATTATGTTACTTCTTCATTTGGTCAAAATCCAAGGCTCCAAATCAGAAAGATATGAAAACATTTTAAGTTTCATTACATGATGCCAGGCAGGCATATAAAAAAAAGCGACTATCATCTATAGAAAGTAATCATTTATCTATAACATGTATAACAATTTGAAAGCAATGAAAGGTGAAAGGAGATGGTATAAGATTATTATGAATTACAGTATATATGACATACTGTATCAGACATACAACAAGACATGTTGACTATGGATTCCCAGTAGCAACTACATCAGTGACTCATAAAAAAATTGCTGTTGTTGGCACACATTTCTCCCCCAAAAGCTGCTATTTCGAATTTCCGACGAATGCCTTTATTATAAAGACACCGGTGGCTGAAAGTCAGATGCCTCAGCAGTTGGCGTAAGGAGGTCATCTTCATCCTTTCTGACCTTCACACTCATGATCTCTGACTACTTCTGTCTTTCACGGTCCTCTTCCCCAAACCATTTCCCCAGCTATGGACCATCACCTTCCTCCTGTCTCCTTTTTAACTTGCAAATTTGATGTTCTTTACAAACTTAGGGCACATGCACACTTTTTTCTGTTATCTAGGTTTTCAATGACCAGAACTGATCACTACTGCTCTTACCCTGAGCACTATATTTCATTACTTTGTGCTATTTTTCTTTTTTTGAGACAGTGTCTTGCTCTGTTGCCCAGGCTAGAGTGCAGTGGCATCATCAGAGCTCACTTCAACCACCAACTCCTGGGCTCAAGTGGTCCTTCTGCCTCAGCTTCCCGAGTAACTGGGACTACAGGTGTGCATCACTATGCCCAGCTAATTTTTTTATCTTTTGTAGAGACAGGGTCTCACTATTGCCCAGACTGGTCTCGAACTCTTGGCCTCAAGTGATTCTCCTGCCTCCACCTCCCAAACTGTTAGGATTAGAGGCATGAGCCACCGCGCCCGGTCCCTATTTTTCTTTAAAAAAAAAATGAATTTTTTTTTAAAAGAAAACAAAAGTAAAATATAAATATCCAAGTCCCTATCACCTAGATTTAACAAATCTGTTAATATTTAGTCATGTGCTTCAGATCTGCTTATTAAAATAGATAAATAATAAAAATAAAGTATTACAGATACAGCTGACATTTTCTTACATCCTACTATTCCTCCTTCTTGCTTTCACACACAACTCCAACTTGTTCAGTGTGTGTCCAACTAAAATATAGAACTGGTTCAGGCTCATGTAACAGATCTGGTCAATGACATAAACATCAAGCCTGAGAAGGAATCCCTTCCAAATAAAAAAGCAAAGCCTCATTAGAAAAAGCTCTTTGCTTCCCACATTTTTCTGCCTAGAATGTGGATATGAAATCTAGTGACACAGCATCTACCTTGTGACCAAGAGGAAACAACCCTGATGTACATTTTCTAGTTGATGGACGTTTAGGTTGTTTCCAGTTTGGGGCTACTAAGGATATAGCTGCAAAGGACATTATTGTACAGATCTTTTTGTGGACCTGCTTTTCTGTTTTTCATCTCTTGGATAAACAACTAGGAGTGAAATTGCTAGGTCACAGAGTAGGTAGTTTTTTATGTAACTGTCAAACAGTTTTCCAAAGTAGTTAAATCACTGTACATTTCCACATATTAAGTTTTGATATCTGATAAATCTACCCTCCTTCTTATTCTTAGATAATCTTACTCTTTACTTTCTATATAAGTTTTAGAACCAGTCTATCAATTTCCAAGAAAATTTTTTGGGGGATTTCAAATAAAATTTTATTGAACATACAGATGATTATTTTAGAGACAATTGATAACATTTATGATATGGATATATTTTTAACTAAATGGTCAGATTCAATTTGCTAATGATTTATGTATTATTTTTGCATTTGTGTTAAAATAAAGATAGGGTTATAATTTTGTCATACTGCCCTCATGTAATGCTGGTGTTAAGGTTATACTAGCATCCCATGAAGAACTGAGGAACATTTTTATTCTATTCTCTGGAAGAGTTCATGTAAAGTAGGGGTTGCCTGTTTTTTAAAGGTTTGATAACACTTGTTTCTAAAACTGTCTATGGAATAGTGTTTTTGTTGTGACAGTATGTTTTGACTACTAATTTAATTTTTTGATGACTGTATGTCTATTCTATTTGCTCTTGAGTAAATTTTGGTAATTTATATTTTCCTAGAAAATCGTTCATTTCTTCTCAGTTTTCAAAGATGCTGACATGAACGTGTATTCTTTACTTACTTTGGGTGTTGAAAACTTATATTTGTTTGCAAGGGTTTTCTATTTTATGGTCATGCTGGTTATTTCCCCATACATTTTTCTCAGACTTCAAGGAATTTGAAAATA